TGTACTGGTATGTAATCGGAATGTGTTGTTATAATAACAATTAGTCGATGATTTCTGCGCCAATTACCTATGTATAATAATATATATATAATTATGTGTTCGTTTAAGTTGTCGAGCATCAAGGGCGTATTTGAGTTGAGGCCATGGGGGAAGGAGGGGGAAACAAATTTTTCTTCAATAAAAACTTAAAAATAATATACAGTTTATGACCTACAGCTCATGTTTCTGTTATAATGATAGACTAGTAATTTATATTTTTAATTATTTATATATTACATTTTTTAAGTAAATCAAAGTATGATATTCAACAAAAAGACGAGCTATGAGGGATGCCCTTTCGCCCCCCTATCAAATACGCCCTTGTCGAGCGTGTACAAATCTGTTACTCATAGACATCACGTCTTTTTCTCATCGAATAATTGTAAAGCAACATATGTATTTAGTAAGTAATGTGTAGAGTTTCAAAATATTAAATTATCATATTTTCGTACATAACATTATAACACTCGTATGTATTTTGCGACGTGTGCACATACCTATTAAATGTATCCATGTAATATAATTAGTCAAATGACTGTGTTGTGTACTGCATAATTATTATCCTATTCTGATATTGTTATAAATATTTATCTTTTAATTTTTACTACGTCTTAAAAACGCAAGAATGGTTAGATTCCGTGTTAAAATCTTTAAATAAACTAAAGATTACACAAAAAAAAAGTGATTTCTTCGGTAAATTAATAAAATAAAACATTACAAATTTTAACAAACGTTATAATGATCTATTTATTAAAATATAAATATATAACTAAAATACCTGTAGAAAACTATCTCATAAAAATAAAAGTTTTTAAACTTAAAAATAAAATATAAATAATCGAAAAAAATTCAACATCAACTTTTCAGATTTCTGTATAGTTAAATTAAATAACTGATATACAGTCAAGAACTTAAAATTTAATAATTAAATACAATTATTGTATATACCTATACCTATTACTTATCAAAACGTTTAAATAGCGCACATATTTCTACATCCGATGATGACCGTTCGAAATTTATCCACAATGTATTGGTTGCAGATAATAACCCTAACAATTTTAACCATCAAATTTTCGAATAAGATCCGTTCACTGAAAATAACGGATATAAATAATATTTTTGAACCACAACATTCGTAGTTCAAATTACGTCATTCTCCGGAGTTTAAACACTTACGTTTCTCACCCGATCGGACGATAAAACAAAGTAAATGTTACATCAAAAAAAAAACCTTGAATATTGACGTGAAAAGATGAAATTAATATTATAATTAAATAAATAAAAAGTAATTCCTAAATTATTAATTTGAAAAACTATTAAACTTGTATCAATTTACTATTTTAACCAATTAGTAAAATATTCGTAGACTAAACACCAGTATGTTAAATTATCTCATTCTTTTCAACGTTTATGCTTTTACTAAAACCTGGTTTTCTAACATTGTAAATCATTTTGAATTAGGTTTAATAGAATATTAATATTTTTCGATATGATAGAGTTATTCAGAATTACACTCATACCAGGGATGGTAAAGTGCTTACCGCCGTCAATAACAGATTACCTTCTCGTTGTATTTATATAACCGATAATACGTTGGAAATTGTCATTGTACTTATAAAATTTGACCCCAAAAATATAATTATAAGCTCTATTAATATTCTTGATAGTTCGTATGTAGAAGTATAATCAAAATATTTAAATGCAATTAATGATATTATAATTATCCTAATTCAGACTTTATTTTACTTGTCAAATTTGATAATCGTACTGCCGTCTCAGTTAATTCAAAAAATATTTCTTTCTAAAATATGTTTCAATTCAATAATATTCTTAATTCAAAAAAAAAAAAAAAACAATACTCTTTATTATGTTGTATCGAACGTTTATTTCTGTAAATGTAATTTAAAATCAGTTTTCTGTAGTAAATGTTGACTCATATCAACCACTTATAGAAATAAGTTATGATATTTTACTTAGAAATATAAAAGATCAAAATTTTAATGATATCGTATGTGATTAAGATAAAGAAAATTACTATTAAACAACGATAACTAGTAAAATAAAGACAATTTTTAAGTAGTTATATAAAACAAATAACCCGTTTTTCTATTGTTTAGCAAGATTTTAAATAATTTATCTGGCACATTTTATGCAAAACCATTTTGTTACAAAGTAACTTGGTCTAGGATTATGATGTCTTAAAAAATGCATCAATACTCCGGAAAATAACACGCATCAAACGAATATAATTTAACATTACTTCTGACATAACATTGCCATCGTGCTCTACTATAGTACCCATACCTCGTTCCCTTTTCGAAAATTTAATAAGGTATTTCATGTGCACCATAAATTTTTATAGTAATTCACTATACCTGATTAATATTATATTTTTTAAAAACATAAACATAAAAAATATACAGTGTATCAAACATAGGCGTGTTCAGACTTTGGTGGTCGAGGGGCACAACACATTTTTAAATTATGAGACTTATATTTTTTTTAGACATGAATAATAAAAATACATTTAAAACTCAAATAAAAATACGTACATTTTACCACTGTACTGTGCTGTACTGAAACTATCGGTTAGTGAGTACAAGTGTAATGAGTACAAATCGCATTACTTTTTTTTATCCTGGCACAGTTTTGTTCGAGGCAAATTCCGCCGGGGAGGTCAGTGTCCACTCGGCCCCTCCCGTAAACACACCTATGGTATTAAACCATATGCGATTAACTCGTATTACCTATCATACTAGTTATAAAATGTAACTATATTCAGCAATATTTATTACCTTGTGTTAAATATTAATAAAAAATAAACCTCACCGTTTTGAATTATTGCTTTTCAGTGGGTTTGTTTTTCTTGTGCACAATATCCAAACTTACCGAACCTCGCAGCTGATTTAAATGTATTAGTTTTCAGAGTGAAACTATAGATAGTTTAATATAAACGATATAATCATCGAATTAAACGTATTTCATCACTATTTCAACGATCATACGTGCAAATCGTTTATATTGTTATTGTATTCAGTACCATATGTTTAGTGTTATTTTACTAATGTATACGTATTTGATTACAAAAAATCTGATATCCAGGCATCGCACGTTACAAAACTCGCATGACGGATAACATGCACAGATTTCTCACATCAATGATAATCACTTCGACATCATTGACTGGGGACAACTACAATTACATTTTTTTTTTCAAAAATCTTATATTAAAAATACATTTGTCTCAAATTATATTAAATTAAAACATCGAAAAAAATATTCAAACAATAGCGTCGACTGTTCCGTTAGAAGAATACACATGTAGATGTATATACACATTTACGTTCATAAAAAGAATTAAAGGAAAATGTTGAATTATAAATAAATATTATATTACCCTGAAATTGACGTTAGCATTTTAGTATTAATGCTTCACGGCTAAGACGTTATTTTCTAGATATTCGCTTTAATTAAAGTATTTTATCAATTTGTACAAATTATTTGTTTATTTAATAATGTATTAATTTATGAGTATTAATCATTTAATAATTTTTAATTTTATTAATTTAACATTTAAACAATAATTTATCGTCTATAGCAGTGGTGGGCAGTTGGTGACCCACGGACCACATGCGGCCCTAGAGCCTTTTTTATCTGGCCCCTACTATATTTTAAAATTACATTATACAATTTTAAAGTTTATCGTCTTACTTCTATATATTTAAAAATCTCGTGTCACAGTGTTTGTTACCATACTCCTCCAAAACGGTTGAACCTATTTAAATTAATTTTCGTACTATACATTTTGTAGGTCTGCCAATAGTTTTTTTATCTATTTTTTAAACAACTAAGTGCTATTGTTTAATAAATCGTAGTTTAGTTTAATAGTTTTTGACCAGGTCAATAACTGCGCAATTGATCAGTTACCTCCACCAGCTGATACCGGTCTATTAAATAAAACTATTAAAAACTATTAAAAAATAATTAAAAACTATTTAAAAACTATTAATTTAATTTTTAGTATTAAATGAAACTAGATATCTGGCTAACCTGTTATGATAAATGTAAATGCAATAAAAGTTTTCCGAAAAATTTCACTAACGATACGATCACAAATGTTGACAGATATCCAATATATCGTCGAAGAAATCCCGATAATGGCGAACAGTCATTTGTTAAAAATATCAATAACATATAAATTGACGTTAATAACCGTTGGGTGGTCCCATATTCGCCTCCGCTGAGCAAAATATTCAATGCTCATATTAATGTTGAGTTCTGCAGTTCAGTGAAGAGAATCAAATACATTTACAAGTATATGAATAAGGGCAGTAATATGGCTGTATTTCGAGTTGAAAATATGAATGTGAATACTCTTCCGGTGAATAACACGAATGAAAATAACTTTACTAAATTGACTTTACGTCAGCTCCAATGAAGCTGTTTGGCGTATTTTTGAATTCTCAATCCATCAACGGAATCCATCAGTTCTTCATTTAGTCGTCCATCTTGAAAATTCTCAACGCGTATATTTCATGAGTGAGACAACGATTGATCGTGCTATAAATCCACCAAAAACTACACTCACCGAATTTTTTGAATTGTGTAATCATACGAATAATTTTGGTGCTTTTGCACGAACAATACTTTATTCAGAAGTACAACGTTATTTCACATGAACTCCAACAAAAAAATGGATGCCCCGCAAGCAAAGTACACCGATTGATGCATTTCCCGGTTTATCCAAATCAAACGCCTTGGGGTGAGTATTTACAGTCAATCCAAGGCAGACTGAGTAATTTTATCTTCAACTGTTATTGGTTAATGTCACTGGCCCATTGTAATTTCAAGATATACGTTAAGTGAATGGGCAACAGTATCCAACGTATAAAGATATATGCCTTGTACTCGGCTTGCTGGAAGCCGACAACTAGTGAATAATGTATGCTTGTTGAAGCATGATTGAACTGTACAGCAAAACAAATTCGTCTACTATTCGCAATAGTGTTGACTACATGTTTCCCGATCCGAGCAGAAATAAACACAAAGATTCAATGTCTGATGATACATTGCATCAACATCGTTCACAGTTAGGTTAGTCAAGAAATAAATATAAGCTTTGGCGGTCAGGAAGAACGAAATACTAAACACCCAAAATACCTAGGAGTGGTTCTAGATAGAACACTCACTTATAGAGAACACCTAACCAGACTATCAGCAAAAGTCAAGACCCGTCAGAGCATCATTTCAAAGCTATCTAGCTCAACATGGGGAGCTGACGCGAATACGCTACGTATAAGCACGCTATCATTAGTGTATTCTACAGCTGAGTACTGTGCCCCTGTCTGGCTTAACAGCGTCCACACAAAGAACGTAGACAAACACCTTAATGCCGCAATGCGCACAATTGGTGGGTTAACAAAGTCTACACCACTAAAATGGCTACCAGTGCTTAGTAACATTGCTCCGCCAAAGTTACGAAGAGAACATGCACTATTGCAAGAATGGAAAAAGTACGGTGATAACCCCCTCCTTCCCATACACACGGACCTGACTGCATTAGAAAATGTCCAACGACTCAAGTCACGAAAACCACCATGGAAAACAGCGAGGGATCTCACCAAAGACAATTTCAATATAAGTTCTAAATGGGAAAACGATTGGACAATAGAAAATCCAGATAACCAAAAACTGGTGATCAACCCAACTATCAAACAACCGGGATTTGACCTCGAAAGAAATACTTGGGTAACACTAAACCGTATTAGAACTGGTCATGGTAGGAGTGGCCACATGATGTATAAATGGGGACTGCGTGACAATGAAACGTGTGACTGTGGGTGTGAATCCCAGACGATCAATCACATCACCACTGAATGCCCAATTCGTGCATTTAAAGGCACCATGGAAGATATCCACCTGGTGAAGGAAGAAGCGGTGGAATGGATGAAGAACCTGGATGTGAAGCTATAGCATGACCCTAACATTTACCAAATGGAGAACCTCTTATCTATTTTATGTTTTATGTGTTTTATGTGTTTATTTATTTTTGAATTTTATCACTGTTGACCATCTTTTAATTTTAATTTTAATTTTAACATGTTATGTATTTTAATATTCTAAGTGATGTTGATGTTGCTCATAGACGCCATACGAAATAATAATAAAATCGTTCACAGTGCAACGATCTAACGATAGTATTTAGTGACGCTATGTATAATGAAGCATTGATTGCTATTGGGGATCTTTGAATTATCATTGCCAACTTACGACTCGGTTATTTCTGTATGCATTCACCAAATCGAAACGAATCTGAATTAATAAACACTGAATTGAATCGTGAACTACAAAACAATATTATGGAAATGGCAGCGATTGTTGCTCGCAACGTTCCCTTTATGAATCAAAGAACCATTTACGACCGTATCATGCTTACAATTCCGGCAGGACAAGGTGGATTCTTTTTTTTTAATGCACCAGGTGGAACTGGCAAAACATTCCTTATTTCGATCATTATCGCCGAAATACGGTCAGATAACAGCATCGCATTGGCTGTTGCATATTGATATTGTTTTTTACTAATATTGTCATAATTAGCAATATATATAATTTAAAGGATCAATTTTAAGAAATTATCAAAAAAATAAATGTTTGATTTTTATATTCTGTCATCATTCACGGCACTCCATACTTCTCCCACTTATATACCACATCCTTACACACTTATATTAAATTAATTATTTTTTTCTAGCAAAATATTCTCTAGAAATAATTTATATGACAAAACAACGTTTGTCGGGTCAGCTAGTCATATCTATTAGTCATTTATATTTCCACTGAAATGACTGAAAAGAAAAACTATAGTTCATAATTTATTATATAATGTACAAAATCTACGATTTAAAATTAAAAAATCGCACTATTGTCCCAAATTTTAAACAATTTTATAAGTTCACATAAAAGTATTTTTATACTGAACTAGCTGAATTACCCGTCGTTGCCGGGTTTAAGTATATAAATGTATGTAACCTGCCAAGATTAAATTTTGTTAAATCTATTGAAATTTAAATTAATTAAGATTTTTGAAATAATATTTTATACATATTAATTTAGTTTTTAAGATAATGATTATTATCATAACCTATTCGATAAGTTATAGCTTTTGGCGGCAGAAGCTTTATTCACGATAAATTTTAGCAATAAAGGTTCAAAATAAATGTTTTACTAATAGTTTTTCAATATGTTATCTACAAAACTTCTTTGTAGACAATGTTCTTCACTGATCTATTAGTAGGCGACAAAATCACCAAGCTACTGGGTGAACTTACGCGTGAGAAAGCTACGTAGAACTGCCCATGTGAAAAACAGTTTTCTCGCAAATCTATTCCTGCAAATTTAAGAGTTTGGCCTTAAGACTTGTTTATAGTCATTGCAAAACAGACTTTCAGGGGAAACTGTAATCGTTTAAATTCGAGCGGATGATCATTCGGAATTAAAGGGATTCGTGGTACAAACACAGTTTCCCCTTTTGCACATCCTGTTAAAATTGTGGCTTCTACTATATTGCGATGTAAAGCTTTGACTTTAAGCCTGGTCCCATTGCACAGTTTAGGCGGTTTCAAATTTCGCAACAACATAATAGGTGTGCCCATACGCAGAATAAGCCTATGATATGGCATGCCCGGTGGTTTCAATGAATTTACAAATTCAACCGGATAATTAGTTGCATCGTCCATGTTGACCACCGTAT